AAGGGTTGCCGCTATATGCCATATCCCGCTATTTAAAACATTGCTAGACCAATAAGTTAGTCCATAAAAATTGTATTAAAGTGCACCAAAACCATATAAAATTATTGTAAACAAGGCATGAATACTTCATAAATTATAGATACTTTGGAGACGTATCAGAGGACCAAGTCAAACTCCTATACCGGCGGCCAGTCCACGATGTCGGCCAACTGCCGACCCATTGCACCCGAGAAAGGCGGACGCCACCCCACCAGATTTGGGCATCCCAGATCGAGACGGGGAACCGCTCATGGCAACCAACAACTCGGCTGCCGAACAGCCGCATCTGAGTGAGCCCCTCTCACCCCATCGACCGATCTCGTGAAGCCCCGCCACCCCTGTCCGAAGCTAGAGACGCCACCAATGACCACAACCCCGCTTCCACACGCCCGCGGGTAGGCCGTCGATCACCGCCGCCTCCAACACCCGCCGTCCAACGACCCAGGGTCACCAGGCTACACGAACCACAGCCTGTCGTGTCGTCGCCGCACCAGCTCCACCTAACACGCCCCCACGACGCCATGCCACGGAGCTCGGCGCCGGCGCAGCGCCCCAGCCGGAGGGAACGGCCCGCGTCGCGCCACTACGAGCTGAAGAATGAGAAAGCCCCGCCTCCGTCGGCTTCAGTCAAGCTTTGCCCGGTCGAGCCCCTTCACGGACGGGGGAGGAGGGAGGAGGGGGCTTGACGCGGAGAAGGCGAGACCTCCCATTTGCCGCGCAGGCAGCGGCACAAGAGGGGATATGGTTCGGGAGGGGGAATTGGGTCACGGGAAAAAAGTAAAAAAGGAAACCCACCTCCATTGCCTCAAATAGAAAAGAAAAGAGAGAAAAAAGAAAAAAATAAAACAAGATTTGAAAATCAAGCCATTAATGTGCAATAAATCAATTATGAAATCGAGTCATTATTGAAATTAATTACTTAGTCATACACTTAATTCGGGATGCAAATAATTAATAGTAGTAAGTTTTTTAACCGTGTCTCTACCATTAAAGGAAAGTTGGGGACTGCACGTGGTACGCCGAACTCCCCTCCACTTGATCCCCTCTACAAAAAAAACCATCCCCCCTTCCCACACGCACAAAGAAAACCCACCTCCCTTGCCTCATGCAAGAAAAAAAGACACCATCTGCCCCTGTCTTTTTCTTCTTCGCGGCCCCCTCGACGAGAGCCGACGCCGCGGCCGTAGGTTTCCTAGCTCTGTTGCCATCGGCGGGAGCGGCGGGAGGGCAGCCGACAGTCGTCAAAGAGGCAGTGGCCACCACGGCGGACTTGGTCGCGGTTGGAGCAGATGCTTCTGACCAGTGAAGATTCCCCAACCTCTTTTCGGTGTGGGCAACAGCGCAGGGTTGGTTACCGGCGGGAACAAGCTGGCGGCAGTGGCCAGCGGGGTGGCGAAAGGGTCTTGGCAACCCATTTCGGCGACGGGACAGTCATTAGTGGCGACGGTGGCGCGTGGGGCAATGACGGCGGGAAGGAAGCAGCAGCGAATGCGGGAGAAAGAGGCGGGCCAGTTTTTACTCGGCAGCGCGGGCATCGGGTATATTTAGACTCCAGCTAAGTGCGGAGTGAAATTTTATTTCTCTGTAGACCTTTAGGGATCAGAGACCTTTAGGGGATCGACTAGAGTTGCTCTTGGGATCGACTAGAGTTGCTCTAAAAGAGCAGGATTGGGGGCCGGATTTGCGATGTCCGGTTGTAGATACTCTTAAGTAGTCCTGGCCATCTGAGGCCCGGCCCTGTCGGCCCACCCAGGCCCTGCCCTAAAATCCATGGCCTAGGCCCGATGGGCTTGCCCGTGGGCCGGGCTTGGGTTTGAGTTTTGAGCCCACCAGCAGGGCCTGGACGGGCTTGGGCTTGGCATATCAGCATTTTAAGGAAGAGGCCCGGCCCACTACCCTAAGCCCTAATGGCTTTTTAGGGCTTATTACCAGATGGGCCGGGCTTGGGCTTGAAAAGTAGGTCCGGTGGTAGGGCCTGGGAGGGCCCGGGCCTCATTTTTTTGCTGTGGGCTTTTTTAGGCCTGGCCCAAGCCCGGCCCGGCCCGGCCCATGGCCAGATATACTCTCAAGGCAGAAAAGCCCAGTGATCAACATCAAGAGAGCACACGGTAGACATCGTGTCCATAGCAATCGCCGACAAATAACAGCCGAAGAATCTGACGGAAACAGAACTACAGGCAGTCGCTAACAGTCACGAGAAGTAAAGTCACAATCATCAAACATCGCGGAAGGGATCACAGGAACGATCGAACCAAGGGGGAAAGCTAGCAGGAATCATCAGCCATGGTACGAAATATACGCCGATCAATCTGCGAACATATGTTTCGAGGTGAAAAAAACAACAAGAATCTGCGGACATGTGCAAGGCCGACTAAGCCATGAGCGAGGGGGGCGAGCGAGCGGTCCCTGATCAGCAAGGAATCAGCAGGGTATCTTGGAGGTGAACCACGTCATGACGTGGAGCGGCGCCTTGACGAGCTCCACCGCCGCCTCCAGCAGCAGCGTCACGCACAGGCAGCACGGGCAGATGCACGAGATGGGCAGCCTGTGTTACAGCACGCACCAAACATCAGACCAACAGCCAGGTTGGCGGTGGCAAATCGCGCGGAACGAGGAGGAGGAGGAGGAAACGTACCCGATGATCCAGATGATGGCGCCGACGATGGAGACGAGGACGGCGAGGAGCGCGAAGGGCAGGCCGAGCAGGAACCCGAGCGGCCGACAGCCGTGCTCGTGCTCGCGGTCGCCGCCGCCGCAACAGCAGCACATCTTCCCCTGATCCTCTTCCCTTTTCACTTTCCCTTTCCCCGGCGCGCGTACGAGGCAGGCGAAGCGAGGCTGGTCAGATCGGCGCCGGCGGCTGTCACGCGTCGGGGTGGTTAGGCGTGGGGAACACAGTACGAGTAGCTATATAGCGTCAGGGAGGAGAGGAGACGGGCCGGCTCTGCGGTCGCTTTCCGGCGCGGCGAGTTTTGATTTATCCGCGTGCGGCAAGGTCGGCGATAATGCACCGCAGTGGGCAGGCGGCAGCGAGGAAATCCGGCAAGGGCGATCCCGGGCCGTCGGTAGGCGAACGGACGACCGAGATGGCCACGGAAGCTGCCCGGAAGGACCCTTGGGCAGCTGCAACGGCCCGGTGACGCGATGCGTTGGTGCGACGTCAGTGTTTGACCACTGAGGCGGCTCTATTTTGGGGGATAACGTGACGACGCCGGCGACCGGAGACGCGTGCCGGCGCGCGACCGGGTGGGTTTAGTCTGGGGGCATTGGACTAATCACAGTATGACACGGCGGGCGGGGTTGGAAGAACGGGCGGCGACCGATCGCCCGTGGCGGTTGCGCCACCGGCTCCCACGTGCCCGTTTGGTCTCTCCAGCCGTCAGCCGGTACACACGGCCGCTGGCCAGTTCATCCCAACTCAATAATTCCGCTTCCTTTCCAGACAGATACTACTCAACAAACTCAAATGCTCCCTGACAACATCGGAACACTACAAAATGGCAGAGGAAAGCTCAGTGAGACGGGATTTCAGGACTGTAAAGCTTGAACTTTCAGGGTGACAAGGGATCAGATCGGATCGACAATATCCTATATATTGATTTAATAGCATCGTGGTCAACTGTAACACATATCCGCTGATACATCACAGAATGTGAAACGTTTGGCCTTCCACTGAACTGTAGCTGACATGAACTGGTTACACTTTGTCCATTGTTCTTCGGCTCTTGCAGCTCAGGCCAACAACACCTCTCCTCCCAGCAGCAAATTATGCCTCAAGCAGGTAAGAGTCTTGATGACTACTGTACAGGTCACGGACCGTGCAAATTTGAGGCGTTTGCGCATCTGTCCTGATCATTCACCAAAGTAAATACACAACTGAATCATCATTTTTCCGAACTGAAGACAGAAATTGGTGTTTAGCAGCACAAGTCTACGATGATTTGTTCAATTGTGTATCGTGTCATCAACTCATTGGAGAAACAGATGTGTACGTGACACGGAAACAACAAAACTGGATTTGCTTTAAGGGGCAATATTGCTCGGTATCATTACAAAGATCACGGAAGAGAATATCATCCATGGTGTCACTAGCATGTGGCCTCAGGCCCCACATGACGTCCTTACATTGGATGGTATTGAGCTAATGCTTTCTATTTTTACCACGAAAACATTAGGAGAGTTTCCTACTGCAAATGCTTTCTTACTTTAGTGAAGACTCAAACCTATATTGAGAAAAAACATAAGAAAAAATTACTACATGAGGTCTGCATGTTGCGTGTTGTGGAATGCGTATATACATAAAAAAGAATATACAAGTACATTTTGTCCTTGACGTTTGACCAGGTGTATATTAGACTAATTTTTTCAGGATCGCTATTCTGGCAAAGGGGATGAAAGTGGCTCAATCAATACATCCATCCATTTCATTCAATTGGTAGTATACTTCCTGCTAATTGCTGTCCATAGTCCTTGTATTAGTTGTGACTTGTGAAGCAAAATAACTAGGATGGGGCAGGGGATACCCCTGCCCAACTTTCCTAATTATGGGCTATGGCCCATCAAAAAATTTGAGGCTAAGGAAACTTTGTGCGTCCCTAATCCCTGGCTTGTGAAGCCAACTGGCAGGCAGGACCCCACTGTCAACAACTTGAACACTTAGTGAGGTTTGTTTCCTACAATCATTCAAAGTGCACATATAGCTCAATCAGCTGATGCATACTAGCATAACAAAAAAAAAGTTTCTTATCTTTTTCATAGATGTGATCATGCATATCAAATTAAAAAGGTCCAATAAGTAGAATATAGGCAAAGGACAAGGTGACCAACCTAACCAAGGTTAGTCAGGGATGTAAGCAGCTTGGTGGCGGTTGGCATCAAAATAAACCAAGAAAAAGGTATCAGTGTGCTAGAATATCTGTGTAGTACCTACCAAGTCTCTCAAGTATTCGTCAGGTGAGATTTTAGCCATTCAAATTAGCATTCTCTTTCTCCATCTCAATAACACATGCTAGCCTATCATGCACCTGTGAGGTACATACCACAAGTTAGATACATCAAAACACACCGGATAAACAATAAATGGTCCCTCACCTCTGAAAGGTTGCTTGCAACTTCAGGTTTAAGCGTCTCATCATACCTGAAAAACATCAACAATATGACTTATTCATATATACACACAAGACTTCAAGATTCAGTCACAGTTTAGTCAAAGCTTACCATTCTCGAGGTATACCAGCTTCATCACGAGACTGATAGTTAAATGGACCCCTCATTACAACATCATGCTCCTTTATCAGATCTGGGATGTTAAAGAGAACAATCCATGAATCAACATAATTTCATGAAATTGTATTTAGGTGGATCATAAAGAAGCAACCTAACCTCTAAAAGCAGCACCAGGGACACGGCCCATCATTTCGCACACTTTCAGAAACCAATATAAACCTACAGAAACATGTGCAAGCTCTTCCTCTGCTACTTTTGCCACAATGTCTGCAGATCTATGGTCCGCAAAGCCAATTAACTTCTGGACTAGTCTCGGTCCAGCATCAAGGCCTCTAGCTTCCTATTAAGGTTCTAATCATCAACATATTGGTCAAGTGTACTAAATCGAAATTCTTCACCAAATACTGTCATCTAAAAAGATTCGGAGACTCATGGTTCAAATTGAGCAGGTTATGACAATGTATTTTTGACAGTGCAACAGAGAAGGAAGATGATCTGGCACCTGTACTAGAGGTATAACTGCCATCCGTGCAGAAACATCACTTGAGGATTTTGCACACTCCCTCCACAGAAGATTGTGGACAGGCATATCACCATATCTGCCCACAGAAAACTGTTACAGATTTACAACAATCTGACATAGCTCATATAGAAAACTATGACATATGACAAGTAGACAACAGGTAGAACTATCAGTGGACAGAGATTTCGCATCAATTCAATATTCACACTTCCGCATCTCTCTGCTGCTCACCTGAAGCCAAGCTCGGCAAGCCGCTGTGAATACCACCGAAAATGCCGGCTCTCATCGTCAGCCACACGCGCAAAGTCCGCAAAGAAGCCATCTCCCAGGGTGTCCCGGAGCGGCGAGAACCGCACCACAGTGTCCCAAGCAAGGTCGATCGCATTGAGCTCGACATGCGCCAGGTTGTGGAGCATGTACGCGTTTAGCGGTACCCCCATCGCCTTGTGCGTGGGGACCTCCTTCTGAGTCACCTGCAGCAGCAAGAGCACCACACACCCAACCTGCTCGATGAAATGCCTCGACGAAGAGAGCAACAAGGTGGATGGAGCATTTACCGCGAGGGGCTTTTCCGGCCTGGCGGGGTGGTCCGGGGCCCGGGCGAGGCCCACGGGGAGCCCGCCTGCCGCCCACCGGGAGAAGGCGGCGTGGGTGAGGTGCGCCTTGGCGAGGGGGTCGGCGGTGGACAGCACGAGGGCGCCCATCTCGGCCAAGGACGAGCCGTCGCCGACTCCGGCGCCGGCTTCTGGCGCGCCCGCCTTGTCCGTGTTCGGGACGCAGGGGCCGTTGGGGCCCCACGAGCGGAGGTCGCTGGGAGGGGCCCGGCGCCAGGTGTGAAGGCCCGGCCATGGGAGCGGTGAGGCGGCAGAGGCCCCGGCGGCGAGGAGGCGGCGGCGCGTGGAGCCACGCGCTAGCGGCAGCGCCGGAAGGCGCCCAAGCGGGACCATTTGGCCGGTGGAGCAGTTTCGAGCTTTGGAGGTGTGGTGTGGCGTGTGGGAGGTTTACGGCTAGGATAGATAATGAGATGGATGAACAAAGGCCATGTCAAAGGCCAGGTCCTCCGTGAGTTGGGCTATTTTGCAGGAAAACAAACTAAAACCGGGTTGCATAGCACCACTTATTCACCGCATAAAGTGAATCAATTGGAATTGTGGGGAGACAAACTCAGAACCATGAGATCATCCTAGACGGTTACTGTTGAGAGCCAACAGTAAAGAACCAGTTACTCAGATCACTTGTTCACTGACGTGTAGGCTTCAGAAAAGCAAAACGACTGTGCTACTTTTCTACTGCCCCCACATTGAGGTAAAATGTTTCAGCTTCACCCGCAAAAAAAAAAAAAGTTTCAGCTTAGAGCAACCAGAGCAATGGGGAAAATGAATTATCCATGCTATTCCGACGCAACATAAATTACAGACTAGCTAGTTCCAAAATAAAACAAAAGGAATTAACCAACTATAACAATTTTACAATCTTACAACAGGGTGAGGTCTCCAGGTTCCTGGTCTTCACCGGCTGTCTTTACTTGCCCAATTTGCAGGTGTCTTCTATCCAATTGTCAGATAACTTCCAGCGAATGACTAAGTAAACGCAGCACTCTACAATAGTTACATAACTGCAAATAATGGTACAGACGCATGAAATGCATGCGTGATCTCCGGCATCCACTATTTTGAGGCTAAAAAGACCAAACAGCAACACGGACAGCAGCAGTTGTCGTTAGGCTTCCCTACATGACCAAAATTTACAGACGGCAACATTGAATCGTGTCGGCAAATATCATGCCAGAATCTTTGGTGAACTTACAGGTTATCATCATCTTCTGTCTGACGTTAAGATCTGCAAACATTAAGGAAATCGGAGATGTTAGGTTCAACATTTTGGACCATAAGATTTCTATCGATCTAAAGACTGCACATAGGGCTAGATACATTTTAAATAACAAACGACACGCACTTTGTTGTGCTTGCGTCACAACATATGTTCAAAAAAATTAAATGCTCTGCTCAGATGTATTTTTGGACATTAATCTCGACAAAAGGGTTGAAATATGAAATAGATATGAAGAAGTAACACTAATTGCCAAGAATATTTGTTGTGAGATGAATCTATGAGCATGAACCATGTCATGATATTTTCATACAAAATCTCAAAAAGCAAAATTTAGGTGTCGTTTTGGACGGCACCAAGTACGTCAATGCCACAGTTTCAAACTGTACTCCCTCAGTTTATAAATATAATAGACTGCACATAGGGCTAGATAAATTTTAGATAACAAAAGGCGTGCACTTTGCTGTGCTTGCGTCACGACATATATTCAAAAGAATTAAATGCTCTGCTCAGATGTATTTTCAGTAATGCAGTATGTTTGCCCTTTTGCAACCAGACTGTTTGGACTTTGGAGCACTAGTGTAATACTACCTCCTTTCCAAATATAAGAAGTTTTGGCAGTTCAATTTAACTGCCAAAACGTCTTATATTAGGTATTTTATATAGGATAATGAAAATCTCAAAAAGTATGCAAATTATCTACTCCCGCCGTCCCACAATATAAGAGCATTTTTTACACTAGTGGTAGTATATTATATATTTACATATGGCTTGAAAATAGTGTTCCATAGCACATGCTTTTTATCAAAATGAAGTAGGCACACACCAAAATTGTTGTACTTAGTTTTGATGCCAGGTTTAGTGATTTTAACAAATCATATGCAGGCAAATTTGGATACATTACTTATTCTAATGCATCTAGGCTTTAGTCTAGTTCAATATATAGAAACAAGCCGAACAAAACAAAATGTAGCAGCCCTAGCTCAAGAAGATTCAGATAGTATGAAAATTATCCCTGTCTACTTTAACTAATGGGAAACGCTGCTCATCAGCCGGTCGATAATCACGCCCGCGTCCGCCTCCTCGATTCTGCGCCACGCGTCTCCTGTGCTCCCACCTCTGCGTCTTTTGCAACAGTGTCGTACCTTGTCCCCATCTCTCTCAATCCTTTCGTCCCGAATCAGCACCACATGGAGACGCTCGCCGCGTGCCAGTGCTCGCCACCGGCCCGCTTCGGCAGCCGTCGTTCGCCGGCAAGGCCGGCCTTCACCGCCCCACTTCCATTCCTCCTTTATTTCTTCGCCGCCTCACTTGTCGTGGCTGGGCAGCCGGCTGCTCTGCCGCTCACATCTCTCCTGCCCTGCATCTAGATCGGGCGAGCCGTCACCCGACGTCAGTGACTGAGATCTGCACGGCCCGGTCGTCGTTCCAGCGGCGCGTGGTGCAGCGCACAGCGTCTTCGTCGCCGCTGTCGGTGTCGGGGAGCCCTCCCTGCTGGATCCGCCCCAGCCTTGCGCGTCATGTTTCCGAAACAAAGCTCTTAGTGCAATATAGTCAACGATGTTTCTGAAACAAAGCTCTTGCTGCAAAGAGGGATCATACGCAGAGATGCTTTGCAACGTCACCAATGTTTCTAAAACAAATCTCTTGTTGCAATAAGCACCGATGTGTTTCTGAAACAAAGCTTTTGTTGCAATAGTCACCATTGTTTCCAAAACAATACTCTTGTTGCGAAGAGGGATCCTACGTTGAGCAACCTAGATCGGACGGCTCGCGAGGCGGCGGATGTTTTAAAAAGATCCGCCGGCTGACGCATAGCACAGCCTTGAATAATTTGAGCAACTTCTCAAAAGTTCACCCGCAAATTAGGAATGTTTTATTGCAGTAGTCCAATACCAGTATTGAATGATCAAATTAACATTGCATTGATGCGCTTGTGACAGTAATTAGTGAATCTGCAGTGTGAATATCACAGCATGTTTCCTTTGGTTGCTACTCGAGACAAACATCGCCACAAACACTACAGCTGGATTCATAACAGTTTAGTCAAAGTTTACGAGTAAATTTATATTCTTGGTCCACAGTAGAACTGCAGAACGTAGCCACCGAAACTGCAAAACTAACTGCCACTTGGACGATACTAATGACAGCCACTACAACTATACTAGTAACAATAGGCTGGACCAACATGGCTATTTATAGAAAGCTCATGAGAATAGGGAAAAACATGTAGCTATCTCTGTTATTTCGAAAGCCATTATCCATATAATCAGCAAAGCTGGTAATGTTAAATGAACTCAATATTAATCCCTCCAAGTATTTAAACTGTATCCTGCAATTTCCAATGAGGACATTTTATAGTAGTTTAGAGTTTAACAAACAAATGAACTGGAGCCCCAGAAGATAACTGCTAATTAAGTTTAACAGAATAGTTAAAGACTGATACATGTTCGAGTATAAGCATTGTAATATGTGACCACTGTAATGTATAACTTGGACAGACTCATCCCAAATAAGCACTGTAGAAGTACTAAAATCCAACTTGTAGAAAAAAGCGTGCCATATTTTTTTTTTGTAAAAATTAAATCATTTTCAAACATTTCTAGTTGGAAAAGGAAAGAGTCCATAGCAGTAGACTATAGCAGAAACACATGGGAAATGAATTATAACTCTAAATACAATTTATACTTAAAATCATGTGATGGACTTGACACTTGACACCACTATTCAAGGCAAGTGATTCACATCAAATATCCCCCTTTTCAATAGGTGTTTGGGGATTGTGCCCTGGGCCACACTAGCCTTGCCAGAACGTTGCCAGGAGCGAGCCTGGATCATGTTTGGTTACCACCCTAGTTTGCTCCCCACCAGGCGCAGGCCACCAAAAACGGACACCTGGGGGCATGCACCATCCTTCCTCTTTTCGGATGGCATTTCCTCCTGCTAATCACACGGGTGAACTTTTCTCCTCCTTCGGAACTAGTCGCAGATGCCAACACCAAAGTCCCACCAAAATGAGTCGTCGCAAATGCAATTGAGAAGGCATCAGAGTTAAGAAGTCCCTATCAGAATCGCTAGCCCACTGCCGGTGCAGATGCAATGGAGCCACTGCAGGTCGAAATCAGGCATCTGTGTTTGCAACTGAGAAGCCATGAGTCGCAACTCTGCAAGCAAACGACTGTGATCCTTGGTGAAGCAGATATCAGTGGCCGGTCTTGCTGTACTCGCCCGCTCATGCTGGCTTTGTCCAGAGGCAGGCAAGGGAGAGGGATCCATGCTCCAACGCTACGTCGAATGCGTCGAGAAGCTACCTGATGAGGAGCGCGTCCACAGGAGATATCAATTTAAACTACAGCTTTCTTTCTTTCGTCAAAGAGCATGTCATGTGGTTTCGCTATCTAATGTACATGCACTTAGCATAGTTATGCTTCCTCACCAACAACACACAGTTATGCTCTTTATGTGTTTTTCTCAGGCCAGAACTCTAATCGAACACCACAACTTCAACAGCGCAGGAATAGGCAAAAATCATTTGATTTTGGGGCTACCTTTAGGTACCTATTTTTACCAACCATGGAGTTGCATGGAGTCCAGCCCGCAAACCAAACAAGCCATAAGACCATCTGCAAACTTCTTAGACTTTCTAAAAATTATCAAGATGCCTCTTTTATTGAAAAGGAATGATTATTTCTTTCACTAATATACCATAAATTATTACGTGTCATAGATGATTTAAGATATATGAACCTTCTCAGCTAAATAATAAGATATATGAACCTTCTCAGCTAAATATTCTGCATCATTGCATGGCAATCCAATAACATACTTGTGATCCTACCTACTCCACGAGCATGTAAGGAAAGTTACTGCATCACGTCTTACCTATGACCAAGAGCAAGGTCATCCTCTAGGCTCTAGCATATCCATTTTATTTCTAACCTACAAGCTAACAGCAATAACGCAAGACTGGTATGGATGATGCCTGCTGTTTGTACAATAGGTGGTCTCAAATAGTACATCCAGCTATCTGCAGACATCAAACCATCACATTCTGGTTCTTCTTACTTGTTTCAAAGATGCACATGGCCCGAACGTCGTGAACATGATGAACTCTTGC